AAAAAAAAAAAAAATAGTCGCGCATTGTGGCAGGAGCCTGTATTCTCAGCTACATGGGAGGCTGAGGCAAGAGAATCACGTTCAAAGCACAGTGAGTATATTCTTTTTTTTTAATCAACATAATTTAAGTATACCATAAAAGTTTAAATGTACATTCAAGTGTACTATGAGATAAAAAAAAGGCTGAAAAACACAGCTATAGAGTTTCACAGTGAGTTAAAAATCCCACCCTGGTTTTGTCCCTATAGCTTAAGGAGTAATCACAAAAAGAAACATACATCCTAGCTTGGGGCCTGTATCTCAGTGGCTAGGGAACCAGCCACATACACCAGAGCTGGAGGGTTGAACACAGCCTGGGCCTGCCAAACAATGACAACTACACCCAGTTGTCATTGTGGGAGGCACCTGTAGTCCCAGCTACTTGGGAGGCTGAGGGCAAAAAATCGCCCAAGAGTTTGTGATTGCTGTGAGCTGTGACACCATAGCACTCCACTGAGGGTGACATAGTGAGACTCTGTCTCAAAAAAACAAACACATATCCTATCTATCCAAGAAATCAGGAGTGTCAAAGATGGTTCACTTAAGAGCTAAGCAGTTGTGGTTGGATACGAATCCACCCAGTGCTCACAAATGCCTCCAAAATTAATATGACAATCAAAGAGGTGCAAAATGAGCTCAGCACCCATAGCTCTGTGGTTAGGGTGCCAGCCACATACACCAAAGATGGCGGGTTCAAACCCAGCCCAGGCCAGCTAAACAGTGACAACTGCAACCAAAAAATAGCCGGGCATTGTGGCAGTCACCTGTAGTCCCAGCTACTTGGGAGGCTAAGGCAAGAGAATAGCTTAAGCCCAAGAGTTTGAGGTTGCTGTGAGCTGTGACACTGTAGCACTCTACTGAGGGCAACATAGTGAGACTCTACCTCCAAAAAAAAGGTACAAAATGTTGGCATCAGCACAAGTATCTGCCAGCCAATAAAATCTCAACAGCAGCACCAACCTGTTCAGGGTTCACATGACAAAACATAGAAATCTTCTCCTTCACAGCCATCTCGACAGGCATTGAGCTTCGGCAGATAATCTGTAAAAGCCAGTTAGTTGTGCACAGGTCAGCAAGCAGGAACTAGGACATTCATGGAGCCATTCATTTGTAGCAGGACACTACATTCACTTCCTTTTACTATAAAAGACCTGAGCAAGTATATACTTGTTCACTCTGGGCATCCATTGTACCATTAGAAATTGGTCTGAGTACTAATCAAAGCAAGTATGATTGAACTCAGCACAAATCTACCAGTAAGAAATGGAAACATCACCAAGTTTCTGATGAATAAGACTCATAAATGTTGCTTCATTAGCTATAAGAACAGAACCAGAACAGGGTTTAGCAAACTTTCTCTCTAAAGGCCCAAATGGGAAAGAATTTAGGTTCCCCAGTCATGCAGTCAGTGTTATGACAGTAATGAAAGCAGCTACAAATGGGTGTGACTGCATGCCAATAAAACTTTATTTACAAGACCAGGCAGCTGACCTGCTGACCCTTAATTGCCAACTCCTCCCTGATATAAACTATTGGCAGTGACAGGCTACCTGCTGTAAGGACACAACACTTTTTACACTAAAAAAATAAGAACAATGATATTCCATCCTAGCAGGGTCACAGGAAAAGCCCAAGGTCTCGCCTTGATTCAAAAGAATTGAAGAATCATATAAATGATAGGACATCACACTTGTCCAGCTGTCAATATAGCCCACCACAAGAGAGCCTGGGTAGGAACAAATGGACAATTTAAGCAACATTTGAGCATAAGGAAATAACCCTTTCCTGAATCCCAGATGCATAAATCTCATTGGCACAGGAGTCATATGAGAGCAACAAAGTACTGACACAGTGTTATTAATTAAGAAATGAAGGTCCTATTCCAAGTGACATTTGGAACAAACTTATCCATTGCCATCAACTCACCAAATCTGGAGACAGACCTAACCCCCTCAGCGCGCGGACACTGTTTTGTGTGGGTTTGGTTTTCTGCTCCCCAGTAGAACTAGGCTGTAAAGAAAAAGGTTCCTATCAGTTCATGGGACATTAGCTCTTCTAGATTATAAATGCCTTCCAAGTTTCAAAGGTGGGGCACACAGAACATGGAAAATTTAGCAAAATCGTGGTCCACATACATATTTATCTAGAAAACTCACCTGTGGGACAAGGCTTACATGGATATTACAAAAATTCTCTCTTTTTGCCTTAAACTGGAATTGTCTGAATGCTTCTACAAATGCCATTCCTTCAATATCTCCAATGGTGCCTCCCAGCTAGGAACAACAACAAAAGCAAAGACACAAATGATCAAACATCTTCAATGGTTCAGAAACTAATAGAAAAATTCCCAGCTCAGCACCCATAGCTCCGTGGTTACAGCACTAGCCACATACAGTGTGGCTGGCAGGCTCGAACCTGGCCTGGGCCACCTAAAACAACGACAACTACAACAACAAAAATTAGCCAAGCATTGTGGTAGGCACCCGTACTCCCAGCTTCTTGGTAGGCTGAGGCAAGAGAATTGCTTAAGCCCAAGAGTTTGAGGTTGCTGTGAGCTATGACGCCAGGGTACTCTACTGAGAGAGACAGACAGAGACTCTGTCCCAAAAAAAAAAAGAAAAAGAAAAAGAAAAACTCCCTTAACAAACAGAACACAAAAACTGGAGTTTGGGGAGGCGCCTGTGGCTCAGTGAGTAGGGAACCAGCCCCATATATCGAGGGTGGTAGGTTCAAACCCGGCCCCAGCCAAATTGCAACAAAAAAAATAGCTGGGTATTGTGGCAGGTGCCTGTAGTTCCAGCTACTCGGGAGGCTGAAGCAAGACAATCGCCTAAGCCCAAGAGCTGGAGGATGCTATGAGCTGTCACCCCGCAGCACTCTACCAAGGGCAACAAAGTGAGGCTCTGTCTCTTTAAAAAAAAAAAAAAAACTGGAGTGTGAAAATAAACAGTATTGGCTCAGCGCCTGTGGCTCAAGTGGCTAAGGTGCCAGCCACATACACCTAAGATGGTGGGTTCGAATCCAGCCAGGACCCGCCAAACAACAATGATGGCTGCAACCAAAAAATAGCCTGGCGTTGTGGCAGGCGCCTGTGGTCCCAGCTACTTGGGAGGTGGAGGCAGGAGGGTCGTTTGAGCCCAGGAGTTGGAGGTTGCTGTGAGCTGTGATGCCACAGCACTCTACCCAGGGGGAGAGCTTGAGGCTTTGTCTAAAAAAAAAAAAGAAAAGAAAAGAAAAGAAAAAGTATTGAATTATACACTTACAACAGGAAAAATTTACAATATATCTAAGTTAAACCTTAATAAAGCTGTTAAAAGGAGAAGAAAATTACAGTACACTTAAGAGGAGATTGGCCACATATGTTGGCTTAAGCGTGTAATCCCAGCACTTCAGGAGGCCGAAGCGGGTGGATGGCGTGAGCTCAGGAGTTCAAGACCAGCCTGAGAAAGAGCGAGGCCCCATCTCTAAAAAAATAGCCATGCATGGATGGCGCCTGTGGCTCAGTGAATGGGGCACTGGCCCCATATACCAAGGATGGTGGGTTCAAACCCAGCCCAGCCAAACTGTACCAAAAAATATAGCTGGGCCTTGTAGCGGATGCCTATAGTCCCAGCTGCTTAGGAGGCTTTGGCAAGAAAATCACTTGAACCCAACAGTCTGAGGTTGTTGTGAACTATGACACAATGGCACTCTATCAAGGGTAACAAACTGAGACCCTGTCTCCAAAAAAAAAAAGGAGATGTAATACAGTGAAGAGAAAATAGAAAGTAAAATAAAAATAAATTAAAAAGTAAGTAAAGCAGCTCAGCGCCTGTGGCTCAAGCGGCTAAGGCGCCAGCCACATACACCTAAGGTGGCGGGTTCGAATCCCCAGCCCGGGCC